CAAAGGATACCCCAATGGCCCGTTAATGGAGCCCTTATCGTCCTTAATAGTGGGTACTTAGGGTATACTAGAGGGTAAAGGATACCCTGGCTACACCCAAGAGTAACCTAGGAATAAAAAGGGTGCCCTTTTTGGTCTAAAGGGGGTTATAAGGGAACCTAAACCTTCCAAAAAGGGAATAAGGGCCTAGTCTGGGTCCTAGCTGGCTTACAAAAACCTTGCAATCCTACAAGCTCTTAAAAACAAAAAACGAAAAAAACATCCTACAGGCCCTGCTATAAACCCTACCTTAAACCGGAATAACCCACCTTTTTAAGGACTTGTATAAGAAAATCATAATTAGAAACCCTAAAAAGGTAGGTTATTCAGGGTTAAGGTAGGGTTTTTACCAGCTTAGCATCTTAACATCGACATCCTTCAAGCGACCTCCAGGCTCCAGCGCCACGCTGCCGGCTGCAGGGCGCTACATCCGAGCCAGTGCCTTCAGGGTTTCTTTAAAGGGATAGGGCTTAAGGTTTAGGGGTTTAGGGGTTTAGGGGTTTAGGGTTTAGAGTTCAGGGTTCAGGGTTCCTTGAAGGGTTTCCTTACAAGGGCTTCCGTTAAGGGCTCCTTTAAAGATTCCTTTGAAGCGCCCAATGTAAAGGGCAAGCTTGGGCTTTAAGATATAGGGCTGAAGGTCATGGTTTTTTGGAAGGGTTTCAGGTTTAGGTCATCCCTCTGGAGTCCTACCTATAGTCTCAATTGTAATTCCTTTTCGGGGTTACCTTTTAGGATCCTTACTATTAAATTAAATTTGGTTAAACCAAAAAAAGGAACTACAATGGAGACTATAGGTAGTCTGTCTGGTTCTTAGGAGGGAACGGGGGAATGAATTATGAGGGCTATGTAGGGGCTACTATAGGGATCCATTCCCCCATTGTCTACAAAGCACCAAGGGGTAGTGTGGAGTGTAGGCTGCAAAAAAACTGATCATTTTGCAGCTGTCTTGAGAACAGTCGAAACTTGTAGGCTTCGTGTTGATAAAGTTCTGCTGATGATCCACCCTACTAAACCCAAACCCCTCAAACTCTAGTCCCTGAACCCTCAACCTCGTTGATAATTAATGTGGGTGCAGGAGGTGTTGCTTAGGTTGCCGGTTCGTGTGCTTCTACCATTAGAAGATTCATGTTCGCAGGGGAAGAGATCCGGATTGCCGGGCTTATCTACGACTGTCCCAAGCGCACCTGGGAGTTTCTTTCGAAACGTCCTGTTTAGGCAGCCATTCCGAAAGCAATGTGGCAATGTGTCAACGACAAGAAGGGCAGCCAGTAAAGACAGGACCCTTGGCAAGAACAACGTATGGGCATTGGATGGCATTGGTGACATGGTCTCATGAGCATAAAGTCTATAGGCTTGACTGGGGGCTCTAAATGCAATAAGCACTCTGAATGTTGAATTGCAGATCAGGCTTCAACGCATCGACACCACAGTCTTTTAACACGAGGCACCGTAAGTGCAACCTGCCAGGTCCTGGTAACCATTTGATAAAACAGACAGTGGCCTGATACCAGTCGAGTCTCAGTACTGCTTGTAACAGGGGCTGCAACTCAACAAGCACATCGGTGATCCGCCGGGGGCCGGTGAGATGTACCAAGACAGGCTTCGTGCAGCGTCAAGCGCCTCTAATAATACCTCAAGGATCACTGAGCAAGGCACATGATGAACGCTACTCCAGAAATTACATCCACACAAGAATGAAGAGGCACATGCCAAACATCAAGCTGTCTTCGACAACTCGGCGCAATGTGTGGCTAGGCTGCCCCTCAATGGTGCGCTGCGCTCTGCATGTTGATGGGCTGTGTGGGATGGCTTGTGGCTGCATCCAGGTCGCCGTTAGCTTGGAACACCATGCCAAGCTCAAGGAACGTCATGGCCACTTCTCTGTGAGCTCCCTCTCCATGCACTGCTCTCTTCATGCTGAGGGAGATGTGGCTCGCCAGCTGCATCCAGGTCCCTCACATATCCGTACACAACGCCGAGCTCATGGAGCGCGAAGGCCACTTCTCTGTGAGCTCCCTCTGTTATCTCTTCATGTTGAGGGACTCGGTGAGGTGGCTCGCAGCTGCATCGAGGTCACCCTTGCACTCCACGCCCAACTTGTGAAGCGTCAAAGCGACTTCACGGTGGGCGCCCTGTCCGCACACAGCTCTCTTCATGTTGAGGGACTCGGAGAGGTGGCTCGCAGCTGCGTCCAGGTCGCCCTTCTCCATGTACACCATGCCCAACTCTTGGAGCGTGACGGCCACTTTTGCGTGAGCACCCTCTCCAGGGACTTCTCGCATCATGCTGAGGGACTCGGTGAGGTGGCTCACAGCTGCATTCAGGTCGCCCTGCGCCCTGAACACCACGCCCAGCTCGTGGAGCGTGCAAGCCACTTCTTGGTGGGCTCCCTGTCCGTGCACTGCTCTCTTCATGCTGAGAGATTCGGTGAGGTGACTCGCAGCTGCATCCAGGTCGCCGTTCTCCATGTACACCATGCCCAACTCTTGGAGCGTGATGGCCACTGTTCCGTGAGCTCCCTCTCCATGCACTTCTCTCATCATGGTGAGGGACTCGGCGAGGTGGCTCACAGCTGCATCCAGGTCTCCCTTCGCCCTGAACAGCACACCCAGCTCATGGAGCGTGAAAGCCACTTCTCGGCGAGATCCCTGTCCGTACACCGCTCTCTTCATGCTCAGGGACTCGGTGAGGTGGCTCGCAGCTGCATCCAGATCGCCCTTCGCCCTGAACACAACGCCCAGGTCATGGAGCGTGAAAGCCACTTCACGGTGAGCCCCTTTTCCATGAACAGCCCTCATCAGGCTGAGGGATTCCGTGAGGTGGCTCGCAGCTGCATCCAAGTCGCCCTTCTCCATGTACACCAAGCCCAGCTCATGGAGCGTGGTGGCCATCTGTGCTCTCTGCATCTTCAAAGACTTGGTGAGGCTGCTCACAGCTGCATCCAGGTCTGGTTTTTTCCCGATGGAGCCTGACGCTGCATCTTGCTGAGTTCCTCTCGGTGCACAGCTCGCTGCTTGTCCAGTGATGCCTATCTGCCCTGTGGATGAAGCCATCGCAAACACGGAGGCCAGTGAATGGAGAGCTGTTCTCCACTCAAAGCTCCCGCTGATGTCTATTTACACTTATATATGGTGGGGCAGAGGGGCTGGCGTCTTGAAGTCCTAAACACAAAGGAGTGTCTTCAATGCACGTGACATAACCTCCCTGCAAGCCTCGGTCCAGAAATTGATCATGACACGAAGCACCTCAATGCTAGAGCCGGCGCGGTTGAGAAATAATAGGGCTTATAGATATAGAGTTTACGGATGGATGCCAGTAAACCTAAATCATACAGGCCGTAAACCCCTGTATAAACCCTACTGTAAGCCTTCACTCGAAAGCTTAAGGTTGGATGATCAACTTATGAGGATAAGCGGAACACACCTATACGGGAATCTGAATAAATGACGTTCTAGTCTTACCTGGAAGTAACTGGCAATTATAGTTCATAGTTACGGTGATATATGTATATATATATATATATATATATATATATACAGCATACCCGTATACAAGCATTATAGGGAATGAATAGTTGTCATACCAATGACCGTACTGTCAGCACCCATCCAGTACAATCAATCACATGCCCCAAACCCTACACTGCTAAACGCGGATCAAAAAGTGGACCTTCGAGTGCTGGTGTGTGCCCAAAGGGGTCCGGGCCATGCTGCAACAAAACAACGCCGTTCTCTGTGTGTACCTATAGTCTCCATTGTAGTTCCTTTTTGGGGCTCCCTTTTAGGATCCTTAATATGAAATTGGTTAAACCAAAAAAAGGAACTACAATGGAGCCTATAGGTACCTGCTCCAAAAGCCATCAGGGATCCCTGTGGCAAAACAGCGCCTTTCCTTGTGTGTGCCTGCTCTAAACCCTCTGAAACCTTCCGCCCTGCCGTCTGAGATTTGGAAATTGGGGAGATCGGAAAAATGGACCGCTGAGTGCTCGTGTGCGCCCAAACGGGTCGGGCGCACGCTTTGCAATCCCCAAAAGGAACTACCTATATATAGTCTCCATTGTAGTTCCTTTTTTTGGTTTAACCAATTTTGTATTATAAGGATCCTAAAAGTAACCCCAAAAAGGAACTACAATGGAGACTATAGGTACTATGGAGCCTCTACGTACTCGTAACCCTACAAAACCCGACACGCTGAGATCCTCCGAATGACCTCCAGGCCGGGGTATCACCCGAACAGCTGCCGGGCGCTACATCCGAAGCGGTGCCTTCAGGGCTTCTTTAAAGGGATAGGGCTTAAGGTTTAGGGGTTTAGGGTTGAGTCCTTTCTGTTCGGGTTTAGGGTTCAGGGTTTAAGGTTCCTTTTAGGGTTTAGGGTTCAGGGCTTCTTTTTCAGGGTTTCTGCTACGGTTCCCTTAAAGTTTAGCAAAACGTGTCCGTAGCGGTCTTGGCATGCATTAATATACGCGCATGATTTTGAGGGCACTTGTAAGGTAGGTTTTTGGCTGGGTGGGGGACATGAATTTCAGGGGTGTCTAAGATCCTATAGGCTCGACTGATGGTTGTGCAAAATTTAAATGCAATAAGAGCTCTGAGTCTTGGGTTGCAGATCAATCAGCATAGTCTTGTTGACCGCACCCTCGGAACCGCATCATCAACAAGAGATTTCTGTATTTCTTGGAACTGTGGCGGCAAGTCAACAAGCACATCAGCGTCCCGTGGGACGTACCAAGACACGATCTGTGCAGTGTCAAGTGGACGCCTCTCCTCATAATACCTCGATCGAGGATGACACCCCAACAGCAACATTGAGCTTTGGGTGGATTCTTGTCAAAGGTCATAGATGGTCATACGCCATATGCTCATCATTGAGCAAGGCACCACATCCACGAACAAAAATGCGGGAGGTCTGAAGATTGAGAATAACACTTCTACGAGTACGCTTTGGCAATGCAAGCTTGCAAGTTAAGCTCCCCCTCTGTACTGCACCGCACTCTGCATGTTCAGATGGCTCGCAGCTGCATCCAGGTCGCCCATGTCCTTGCACACCACAGCCAGCTCATGCAGGGTAACAGCCACTTCTCCGCGAGCTGCCCGTCCGCAGACAGCCTTCTTCATGCTGAGGGACTCGGTGAGGTGCCTCGCAGCTGCATCCAGGTCGCCCTTCTCCTTGCACACCACGCCCAGCTTATGGAGTGTGATGGCCACTTCACGGTGAGCTCCCTGTCCGTACACTGCTCTCTTCATGTTGAGGGACTCGGAGAGGTGGCTCGCAGCTGCATGCAGGTCGCCCTTGTCCCTGTACACCGCGCCCAGCACATGGAGCGTGACCGCCACTGTTCCGTGGGCTGCCTCTCCATGCACTGCTCTCATCATGGTTAAGGACTCGGTGAGGTGGCTCACAGCTGCATCCAGGTCGCCCTTCGCCCTGAAAAGCACTCCCAGCTCATGTAGCGTGAAAGCCACTTCTTTGCAAGCTTCCTGTCCGTACACAGCTCTCTTCATGCTGAGGGACTCGGTAAAATGCCTCTCAGCTGCAGCCAGGTCGCCCTTCGCCCAGAACACCATGCCCAGCTCGTGGAGCGTGAAAGCCACTTCTTTGCGAGCTCCCTGTCCATACACAGCCCTCTTCATGCTGAGGGACTCGGTGAGGTGGCTCGCAGCTGCATCCAGATCGCCCTTCTCCTTGCACATCACGCCCAGCTTGTGGAGCGTGACGGCCACTGTATAGCACGCCTCCTCTCCGTACAGAGCTTTCTACTCGGAGAGGTGAGTCGCAGCTATATCCAGATCCCCCTTCCTCAAGCACACCACGCCCAGCTCATGGAGCGTGATTGCCACATCGTGGCGAGCTCCCTCGCCATCCACAGCTCTCTTCATGCTGAGGGACTCGGTCAGGTGATTCACAGCCGCATCCAAGTCGCCCTTCTCCCTGCACACCACGCCCAGCTTAAAGAGTGTAACGGCCACGTCTCCGTTTGCTCCCTCTCCATGCACAGCTCTCTTCATGCTAAGGGACTCGGTGAGGTGCCTCGCAGCTGCATGCAGGTCGCCCTGCTCCTTGCACACCACGCCCAGCTTATGGAGCGTGACGGCCACATCATGGTGAGCTCCCTGTCCGTGCACAGCTCTCTTCATGCTGAGGGACTCGATGAGGTGGCTGGCAGCTGCATCCAGGTCGCCCTTCGCCCGGGAAACCACGCCCAGCTCATGGAGCGTGACGGCCATTTGTGCTCTCTGCATCTGCAAAGACGCGGCGAGGTGGCTTGTAGCTGCATCCAGAATCTTCCCGAGGGAGCCTGAGGCTTTATCTTGCTGAGTTCCTCTCCGTGCACAGCTCGCTCCTTGTCCTGTGATGCCTATCTGCCCTGTAGATGAAGCCATGGTGTAAACACGGAGGCCAGTGAATGGAGAGCTGCTCTCCGCTCAACGCTGCCGTTATGTCTCGTTACACCTTCTTTAAATATGATGGTTGGGCACGGGGGGCTGTCTCTTGGGATCCCGCACTCAACGAAGTGTTTACAATGCGCATGACGTAGCCTCCCCACCTCGGTCCGGGAACTGATCACCACATGAAACACCCCAATGCTCGAGCTCGCACGGCTGAGGAATTAGAGGGTTTGGTTTAGGGACGGATGCCCAACCCTACTCCCGAAACCTGACCTAGACCCCACAACTACACTCTAATATATCCTAAATACCCACTATTATGAGAACCATAAGAGCTCTGTTAGAGGGTACTTTGGGGGCCCAGGAATCCCAGGGTACGGCACACACCACACTTTAGTACCCTAGGGGGCTCCAGTCACCGGAACAGTGGGTTACTACCCATATACTGTATCTAGAGGCTCCATAGTAGTTCCTTTTTGGGGTCCATATGTCTAGGATCCTATAAGGTCGTCCCAAAAAGGAACTACTGTGGAGCCTCCGGGTATACACGGTTCGCCAACCATACCTCCTCTGCATCGCTCTCCGTGGAGTCGCGGGAGAACCGGTGTGTCTCTGCTCGATGACTTGATGATGTTTCTTTGCAAAGTTGCAACGGAACCTCATACCAACAAATCTGATACTTAGGCCAGAGGCGTTTATATAGCATGATGCAAGAGTTTCGGATGGGGCCAAGCAACATCTCCGTCGTAAACAAACGTCCTCAAACTCACCGGGCAACAAACGACTACCTCAAAGCCTGCCTTAACCACCACAAACCGATGCGTGAATAGCCCAGGGTAGGTATGTTTTTCAACTTGAGAGCCCTATGTGTAGGCACTACAGTTGTATACTTCGAGCCCCTGGGCTAAAAACCGAAACTCTTTAACTTCAAGCATCCAAAACCTCGAAACGCCTAAACCCTAAACCCTAAACCCTCAAAACCCTAAACCCTAAACCCTCAACCCCTAAACCCTAAACCCTAAACCCTCAAACCCCTAACCTCTGAGCCCTAAAGCCCTAGACCCCCGAACCCGCCCGCGGGGCCTCGGCGTTCTTCAGAGCCCCTTTAAAGGCCCATCGAGGCATGCTGAAGCTCAACGAAGCAGACGAGCGGAGCCACATAGGGTGTAGGATTTAGGGATTGCGCTTTAGGCTTTGTGGGTTAAGGGGTGAAGGGATTAGGGTTTACAGAAGCTTGGTTTAGGAATTTAGGGTACATGAAAAATGAGCTCAATAATAACTTAAAGAGTACGGCTAGGGTTGTGCCGGATGCAGCGATTTGGGGTTCGTTCTGCCTTCCGAAATAAAGCTCCGAATAGCCCGGGTGTGACCAGCATGCCTTGGAAAGGGTAGAAGGATTACCCAGGTTTAGGGTTCAGAGGTTTAGGGTTTAGGGGTTTAGTGTTCAGGGTTTAGGGTTCAGGGGTTTAGGGTTTAGGGGTTTCGGGGTTTGGGGTTCAGAGTTTTGGGGATTGGGGATCATGGTGGTTGATGACTGATGCTTCATTGGATTCACATGACTTTGTTCTTGGCAGTACCCTCTACAGGTTACCAGGATAGGCAGAAGCTAGAGAAGCAGGTACTTGCACAACAATGCCAGGTGCATGCTCACTCTTTTCTCGCTTGCAATTATCTATGCTATTGTGGGGGTTCCTTTCTTTAATTATAGTATAATGCCCTGTTCTAATTATTAAGGCCCCTATATTACCTGGCTTTTTCTCGCTTGCAAAGTGAAGCTGTTCCGACTCCACTTCGGCAATTGAGCGAAGGCGACCCTTTTGGTCGACGTGCCTGCAGAGACCTGAAAGAACGAAGGACTTCTATAGAAATCTGGAGGCCCTGATCTAGGGGCAATAATAATTATTTGAAGGTATCTTATACTGTAGTTAAAAAAACACACTAGTATCGGCCATTCTTAAGGCCTCTCTACATTACCTATGCATGGAGACAAAAGTCAGCTTAGGAATTTATAAGGCGTGGGCTACAGCAGGTACGTAGACTACTGGACCACCAAACCATGTACTTCAAAAGCCGTGTGCAACCGATAAACCTAAGGTCCTGGAGACTCTTAACTCTGAAATCAAATCGGTTGCTTGCACCACAACCTTCAGACCAACAACTCTTAAGACCGCAAACGCAAGACAAAGCAGACCCCTGATCAATAAGCCCCAAGTCCTTGCACAACACCACGTGAAAGTTGACGTTGTTTCCGGCTTGAGGCACGCTACGACACTCGGGTTTGGTAGTCTCGGGGGTGTTTCAGCTGCAAGAAATTGCAGCGCCCCTTTGCAGATACTCAGCTGGTGCTTAAGCATATCTAAACAGCTCCACTCCCTAAACAGCAAATTCAGGGCCAAACCTTTCACTTCTCTTGTTCCTTCTTGGGACGAGTTGATCGGACTCTAATTAATTCATTTCGTTAACGTTCTCGACAAGCTCTTCGTCCGGAGGCTCGTGAGGCTGATGGATACCCTGGGTAGAATAAGCCCCGTCTCTTGACAGAGTTGGGGCGCCTACTCTTTGAGTGTAGTAACCTAGGGTCTACAATATTTTCGACCACTATACCACTTCGATCTTTCGGGAGGTGCCAAGCCATCAAGCACGGCGTAGCGCAAGGGCACAACCTAGCGATCCCCCACTATTGGGCAGAGGAACTCCAGGAGAAGGAGCTCCCAGAGACTCCATAGTAGTTCCTCTTTGTGGCTCATATTTTGAATCCTAAAGGGTAATCCCAAAAAGGAACTACTATGGAGCCTATAGGTAAGCACTTGACTAGACAAGCCCCGAGGGGACGATTTGAGATTCGTGAGATTAGCGGAGAGGGACCTCTTCGTCAGGAACCTGTGCCATAGCTGGGACTTTAAGCAGAGTTGGTCGTATATCAAGTGCGGCACAAACTGAACCTGAAGCAAACCGTAAACCCCAAACTTAAACCCGAAACCCTGACCTAAACAACGAATACTTTCCAAGCTCTGCACTTCCACTGGACGCCGAGAGAGGGGGGAACATGTACTGAGGAGGGCTTTGCTAACTTGTACATACCAACTGGATTCCTATGCTACTCTACGCCCTGAAGCCCAGAGCCACTATGGGAACCCTGACCGCCCTACCATCAACCCAAAAACCGTTATACTAACCCTGTTTGCTGCTGGACTCATCTATAGTCATATAAACCCTTAGACTGCAGCTAAGAGTTGAGAAGGGACGGAGATTAAGGTTTAGGGTTCAGGGTTTAGTCTTTATAAGGGACGGCGCAGGCTCTGGAATCCAGCAAACTCAACACCCCCTCTAGGGCTCCAGTTGCTTAGGTGGTGGTTTAATAGCTGACTATTTCATGTGTAACCCAGTAGCCTATTATTTAGGCGAGGGAATTTGAAGCAACACCACCCTCACCCTACTACGGTTGATTTCATGCATCGGTCGAAGCTGAAACCCTAAACCCTAGACCCTGAGCCACTGGGAGACACGGGTCGGCTGTTGGATCCCTCCCCGAGGCCCTCATAGAGATGCATCTGCGTCCCCCACCTGGGCTTCAGCAGCGAAAGTCGATCAAATCGTCAACATACTGTAGGGGTCTTGATTAGAATAGGGCGCCTTCAGAGTGTTTCATAAGGAGTCTACAAGGCATCTATAGTATACCTATAGTCTCGATTGTAGTTCCTCTTGGGGGTTACCTTTTGGGACCCTTGATATAAAATTGGTTAAACCAAAACAAGGAACTACAATGGAGGCTATAGGTAGAGTGCAATATTAGGGGCCTACTGCGGTCGGAAGGTTCTCCAGACCAACATTCTGTGCGATGCCCTACACCCTAAGCCTTAGCTTGGAGGGCAGCCTAAACCAGGGCTACATGTTAGCCCCAGCATCACTAGGCGCGGGACTCAATTCAGTATAGGGTTTGCTCTACCTTGGGGACGAAATGAGCGCTAAACGAGTTTAAGGCTCATCTACTTTATAGGGGCTCATAGCATAAGGGTAGGGGGCCCATACTTTTACAGAAGGATCGATCCTTCTCTGCTTTTAAGGGTCCCGGAGAAACTCTTCGCTTGCCCTCTGTGCCAGCGCATCGTATGAAGCCTGCATAGAGAGCCTAGGCCCCCGAATCTTCAGTTCTGAAGCCGTGAAACACATATATTCTGAATCTCAAGCTCCAAACTCTTGAACTCCAAAACTCCCTAAACCCTAAACCCTCCAAAACCCCCTAAGTTTCAAAACCACCGGACACGAAGGTCTTGAACCCCTCATCTTCCCCTGTGCTGAGAGGTCCTAGGGCCAAGGGACATCTGGTGAGGGCAGCAACCTCGGCTACCTTTGCTCTTGGAATTCATGGGGGGGAACGTCACAATAGGATAATAGGGCCTTACCTATAGTTTCCATTGTAGTTCCTTTTTTGGTTTAACCAGTTTTATGTTGAGGATCCCAAAAGGTAACCCAAAAAAGGAACTACAATGGAGACTATAGGTAATAACTGGAATGGGGTGTGGGGCCCTGTATACTGTAACTGTAATCATAAGGAACCCCAAAAATAGTATTGGAAACGTTTTTAAAGCCCCTATATTAAGGGTATAAGGCTTTTGGTCTTTAGGGTTGAAGGCTCTGGGTTCAGGCTCATGGAGGAACTTCACAAGATAGTTTCTGTGAGGTTGTTGTGGGGGTTTCGGAGATTGGAGTTTAGGGCTGAGGGCTTCGAGGTTTAGGTTTAGATCACCAGGAGAAAAAGGCCCCTAGCTAGAGGATGCGGCTTGAAAGAAGCCGGGTGCAACACCTCGGCTGTGCAAAGAGGTGTAGAGGCTTACACCATAATATACAATATGCATGTCAGCAGAAAGCGGTCGCCGTGCATGTGTGCACAAGGCACAACCTCTGAAACCTTGGCGATTTACAAATAAACCTCAAAACATGCAACCCCTTTGTAAAGTGCCCCTTCGAACACAAAACCCAGAAACCCTAAAACCTAAACCCTGAGCTCTAGACCCCTATATAAACCCTATATCCTAAACCCTAAACTCCAAATCCTATAAACCCTGATCCCTTATATACACCCTATATCCTAAACCCTAAACTCTAAACCCAAGAACTCTGATCAGAGAGATAAACGAAGAGCCAAGGTTCTGGGACAGAACCAGGCAGTCTTGGTTCGGATCCAGGCTCACTAAGAAGAGCTCTCCTCTCAACAAAGAAGAAAAACTTGGCTGACTTCTGAATGCCTCCTGAAAGGTCACATAATAGCCTCCGGAACTCTAATATAGAAAACCTAAGAGCCAACCAGAAGAACGCCAAGAAAAGGAAAGGGAAGCCCTGTCTGAACTGAGCACTGCCTATAGTCTGCATTGTAGTTCCTTTTTTTGGTTTAGCCAATTATATATATATATATATATATATATTACGGATCCTAAAAGGTAACCCCAACAAGGAACTACAATGGAGACTATAGGTAGAGTTCTTACTTTTTGGCGGGTTTGCGCTCTCACACTGGGGTTTAGGGTTTCGGGGTTTAGGGTTGAGGGTTTAGAGGACAGGCCCACATGGGGTTTAAGGTTTGTGGTTTAGCCCACTAGGAAGAGCAATCCTCAGGATTTAGACTTGGGGAGGGGTGTGTAGGCTAGAGCTTGGTGGTATGCTCTAGCGTTTTTTTTTGGGGGGGGGGAGGGGGGGTAGAGCAACTTGTTGAAGCCAGTGTGGAATAAACCAAATATTTCGCGAAGACAACACCGGGGTATTTTTGGGTTGAATCGCACGCCCAAGCAAAACCTCAGTGCAATAACTCCAGACCCTACTCCCTTATTGTCGGGAACGCGTCTGGCACTACTCGCACGTGTGGGCAATGGATGTTGTTTGAAAGTGATCGTATCACTGCAAGGGAAGACTCGGACAGACTGTGACGATGAATTTGAGGGTTTCCATACGGACCACCTTTATGGCCGTCATGACCAACAATTTGGTGGTGACGGATATGGCGAAAACTGAGAAGGAGATGGCGATGGCAGCGACGGTGGTGACAATGACGGTCCTTGGGGAGATGATGGCAGCTGACATGTAAGTCCTTGAAAGCCTTCTGCCCCCGTGAATCTAAGCAGGAAGGTTTCGGAGAATTAAGCCCTGTCTCTTTGTTCAAGGGTGTGTGTAGGCAATTGTTTCTTACATGCACTGTTCTCCTGCTTTTGAGCGCAATGTGGCATTGCAGCAATTCCAGTGGGTATCCGGCACGGAGGGTGACACTTCCCAGACTACACCAGGCCTGGCAGAATGCCATTGTGAGCATGAGCTGTGCTATGAGCTTGGACACTGTGACACCCTGAAAACCCCGAACCCGAACCCTAAACCCCAGCCCCAGCCTCATGATACCGACTAAGAGGCTGCGTACCCTACCCAGAGCCCCCAAAGAAGGTTAAGCTTTTAAGTTGTAGTACAGGCTTATCAAACCTTTTCAGTTATAGTAGGGTTATAAAACCTTTTAAATTATAGTAGGGTTATATAACCAGCCAAAAGTTCAAGATTACCTACTCAGGCACTTAAGCCGAAAAAGCCTGAAGCCCTAAACTGCTCCAACTGAAAAGGGATTCCTGGCCGCTTGCCCTCCGGCAAGGTGATGGGCAATTTACGGCCATCCGGCACCTGCACAACTGCTGTTTTGAATTTAGGGTTTAGGGTCTTCTGGTTTTGGACAATGCAGCGAAAACGAGTTTACAGATCAAGCACTTGTTTGTTATAGGACCTAACGATAAACGAGCTCATGAGGTAAGCTGAAACTGCTGAACCCTGGCGCTGAAGCGCTAAACACGAACTCTTCACCCGAAGCGCTCAAACCCCTAAGCCCCGACCCCATGAACTTGCAGCCCTGAACCTTACCATGAGGTGGTCAAAATGGCCCAAAAGCCTCACATCGTGTGGTCTTCGGGCTCAAAAGCCTTACATTTTTAAAAATGTTAGCCCTCAGAGCTTTAGGGTTAACTTGGCCTCAACCCCTACACCCTAACCCCTAAAGCCTCAACCCAAAAGCCTTAACCTTAAATTCAGCCTCGAGGCCTGCCTATAGGCTCCATAGTAATTCCTGTTTGGGGATTGCCTTATCGGATTCTAAATATGAACCACAAACAGGAACTACTATGGAGCCTCTGGATCTAGTATATGGGTAGTAATCCACTATTCTGGTGACTTTGGAGCGCCCTAGGGTACTAAAGCCTCATCCGTTCAGTGTATGGAGTTTCTGGGTACGGGCCTAAATGCCTCATGGCCTTGAGCACCTGGGCCTTCTCAGGTGGGTACCTATAGTCTGCATTGTGGTTCCTTTTTGGGGTTACCTTGTAGGATCCTTAAAAAATAATTGTTCAAACCCCAAGAAGGAACTACAATGGAGACTATAGCTAAGACGATGAGGACTTCTGAAATCAGGGGTTGCAGGTTTAGGGTTTAGGGTTTGAAACCCTAAACCCTAAACCGGGATTGCAGCTCTTAGGTACCACAGGCTGAGGGCTTATGTTCAGGGATGGGTTTAGGGTTTAGGGCTAAGCCGATATGAACCCTAAGCCAGCCATTAATGGAAGTAAGCATGAACCCCATAAATCCCAACAGACCCGACCTTAGTCTGAATCGGCCTGGACATGGATCATCTGCCCCGGTCGTCCTTCTGGCGGAACCGGCACACTGAAAACTGCCGCGGCTTCTGCACCTGAGCAGTGGAGAAGGCTTAGGCCCGAAAATCTGCAATGTAGGAACCTGATTTAGAAACGTTGGGCTTTTGTTAAGGTTCCTTATATTGGGGTTTTAGCCCCACATTTCTTGATCAGGTTCCTACAGTAGTCCTTTGCATCCTAGCCACGTGAACCGTGCAAACTGTCTAGACGCGCCATCCTGAAATACGCATTTCCATCGAGTACCCAGACCCCCGAAAGGATCTAGAAAGTAGTTCCCCTGATTTGAGGCCCTATACTTCTAAGGGTACGATATAGGAACCCCCATTAATGGATCTACTTTTTGGATCCCCGGGGATCTGGGTAAACACATACAGGCACTACCACAAGTAGTGATCATCGGGGTTCTTGTCGTTTCCAATTGCCAACATGCTTGCTACTTCTGTTCTGCAGCTGCAAAACCAGCCTCTTCGGCTTGCTGTTTCCGGGGATCATAAACATAGACTGGAACAGGCAGGTTTTGTAGTGAGTCAAGCAAACGAACCACCACGCCTAGCGTCTAGCCCTAAACTCTACCCTCAACCCTGAATGCTTAGCAGACACTGTAAATGTAATACATATATGCAAATCCTGGAAGGCATCTACCTAAATCGCAGACCTAAACCTTTCACGCACTGAACCCCGAAAAACCGTAAAGCCCGAAACCCCTGAACCTGCGTGATTACTAGGAGTGACAAGAGTCTGTGGCCAAGGTCCTTCGACGAAACGGGTGGCAAGGCAGTAAGTTGTCCAGCCTCCGACAGATTTACATTCTGGGGTCGGCACCCTAAACCCTCAGGACCAAAAGACCCTTAAAAATAGGGGCCCTGCCTGCACCCATGTACCATGAACCCCTATAAGGCAACATATTATGAACCTTAACCCCTTTTTGGGGCACATTTCGTGCCTAATCAAACTCAAACCGCTATAATAAATTGAGTTCCATCCAATCCCACATGTAGCGGTGGTAGCGTGAGAGCTTGGAGCCTGGCTGGCCTTGTGCGTGTGTGACCGCTAAGCCCTATGCCTAAAGGTTCCGCAATATCATTTTACAGCATCATACCTATAGTCTCCATTGTAGTTCCTTTTTGGGGTTACCTTTTAGGATCCTTGATACATACTTGGTTAAACCAAAACAAGGAACTACAATGGAGACTATAGGTAGACCTCGAAACCCCAGTCTTCAGGCTCCAACACCCAAGGCGTCGGAAGACAGCCGTACACCGGGTGGGGTTTATAGTCTGGAGACGTTGTGTCCGCTATGAGAAGTAATGAAGACTGATCAATAGCTGAAGGGCAACATGACATGTACCTTGAAAGGCGGCAAAGTTCAAGTACAGAGTACCTCACGCGGTCTTTGGGCAAGAACAGTATGGAACCCTTACCTAGAGGCTCCATAGTAGTTCCTTTTGGGGGGTGCGTGTTTAGAATCCTATAAGGTAATCCCAAACAGGAACTACTATGGAGCCTATGGGTATCGTACCCCGTGAAGCAACCCATCAGCCACAAAGCTCTCCGCCGGCTCTCTTTGCGAGCGCGGACTTGAATAAGGAATATCCTTTAGGGTTTAGGGGAATACACCTCGAGTCATGACTTACACAGATAGCGCCCCAACAAGATCTAAGGCTCTAAGGTTTATGCCTCTAAGACACGTTATCACCATTAGACACAGGTATTGCCTTACAAAAAAATTGTAGACTCAGGTTAATTATATGCCTTGACTCAGGAGTCTACAACCCATATAAAGCCCTTTCAAGGCCCCACAAAACGTTTGTTCCGTAGCTTGTGGGTATAATAATATAGGGGCCTCAATAATTGCCAACGCTAGTTTCGTGGTTCCTTATCATAAGTATAGTATAATGGGCCCCCAAATCCTATTCTTATCATTAAGGCACCCAGACTCAACCCCAAGGATACCCCTTATAGTAACCCTATATGATTCCTTTGTATAACCATTAATTATAGACCCCTTCAAAGGAACCCCTATTCCAAATATGAAGGCCCTCTATATTATAGCACCCCGAAAGATTCCGTATAGACCCCTTTCAAGGAGCCCCCATAGATCCCGTGAAAGGAGGCTTTGTAGTTCCCCTTAAAGGAGCCCCTGTAGATCCTTCTCCTCCACCGTAGGGCTTAAAGGAGCCCCTTAAAGGTACCCTTATAGGTCCCTGTAAAGGTTAGCCCCAGGATTTATACTGTTGATGGACAAAATCCTGCATTACCCATTATAAGGAACCTATAGGGGTACCTTTAAGGGGCTCCTTTAAGGGATCTATAGGGGTTTTAGGGTTTAGGGATATAAATCCTGCATTACCCTTTATAAGGAATATACTATAGTTCCCATAGTTTAGAGGCCTCACAGTCAGGCAGGATTTTGTCCATCAACAGTATCATCCACGGTGTAAGGGAGCCCCTTAAAGGTACCCTCTGTAAGGTACCCTTATAGATCCCTTTGAAGGTTCGCCCCAGGATTTATATCATCCACCGCAAGGCCTGGGGATCGAACTCCAGAAGTAGCTCTTCGCCGGCCCCTGCTGGGACCTCCACCGTCAGCTCCCGGCCGTCCGGAACCTTCCGAGCCGAGCGGCTTTGGGTTTGTTAAAACTTGTAGGGCTTAGGGTTTAAGGGTTAAGGGGTTTAGGGGTTTAGGGCTTAGGGTTTAGGGTTTAGGGTCTTAGGGTGTAGGGTTTAGGGGTTTAGGGTTTAGGGGTTTAGGGGTTTAGGGCTAAGGGGTTTAGGGTTAAGGGTTTAGGGGGTTTAGGGTTTAAGGTTAAGGGTTCTTTCACGGCTTATAGGTAAGGCTTTCGGGGTTTCCGCTGGTAGCTGCGGCTTCCTGAAAAGGGTATTGCTACGGGTTCCTTTATATAAGGGTTTTTTCACGGGTTCCTTAGAGGGTTTTTATAAGGGTTCTTTTTGTGTTGTTTTTTATATTGTTATTTATAGGTGTTCCTTCGAGGGTTTTATATGGGCTTATTTCAAGGCTTGGCTTGGCAAGGGTTGCTTTAAGGGTTTATGGGTGTTTAAAAAAGTGTTACGTGTGCAGGCTTGAGGGTTTGGGCTTTAGGGCTTTGGGTCTGTAGGGTTTAAGGTTTATAGTGTTATTGGTGTGTAGGAGTTACTTAGGGTTGGCGAGTCGTTGCATAGGGTTTGGGACCTCGGCAACAGGCTTCAGGGTCCAGGGCGCACAGAGCCTACAAATCCTTCTCAGTACAACCCCTAAGCCCCAAACCCCAAAACGAACCTAGGCTTGAGCAATGAAGCCGAAGGATTGAGCCGGGTCGAGGTTTCGCAGTTTTAGGGTTCAGGCTTTAGTTTAGAGTTTCGCTTGTAGGGTTCCGACTCGCGCAGTCGCTACTGGGACATCGGGGGGTGACATGCGATTATCTCAGAACAAAAGCTAGTACACCGACCTAAGAACATGTAAGAGCTTAAGACCAGCAGACATACAAGAACAGGCATCTCACATATCACTGGGAGGAGCATGCTACTGGTTGCCTTGGCGGGCACAAGCACAACAAAGCAAATAGACAACACAACCTATGAAAGGTGTACAGTGTAGTAGAATCATATAGGCAAGTCTATCAGCTCCCGGCGGCGACTCGGCGGGGGTCGCGCAGGTGGCAGGACAGCCTATCCTGTTTCAAAAGATACAAAGAGCATCTGATTCTGCTTAACTTCTCACCAGGTGTCCAGCGGCTCACTGGGGTCAGATTCCTGTCTTAAATCCGTCCTTTCCTCTACCAGAAATAGGCGCCAAGGGCTGCTTTCTGCTGCCTCTTCAGCATAAGGGGCTTGACGGTCTGGTGCCATCCTCGTAGCATGGTCCGATGAAGGTGTGGGGTCGCCTTCCTTTTTAATTATGAAGTCGACCAATATAGGGGCCTGAATAACCAGAATAGGGTTTTGGGGCCCATTATACGATAATCACAATAAGGAACCCCCAAAATAGTATTGGACATTTAAGCCCGTATATCACGCGATCCAGCAGGGCCAACCCCCAAAAAAACCTCCGAAACACTCGTCGTCGCTGTTGGCCGGCTGCAGGGTTGGGCCAAGGGCTTCCCCTTTTGGGATTTGGGGGTTTTAGGGGTTTCGGCTTTTGGGGGCTTACGGGTTTAGGGTTTAGGGGTTTAAGGGTTTGAGGGTTAGGGTGGCCTTTTTCTTGGTGCGATCCATCGTGGTGGCAGACATGGGCGCAGAAGGATATGTGTATGGAGAGGGCTGTATATGGGATGGCTTTGAAAACGCTCTGAGCGTGTCGGGTTTAGAGTTCAAAGCTTATCAGAGTCACGGCTCAAGGTTTAGAGTTTCGGGTTTAGGGCTCAGGAGCGGATTTCGGAGGGATCCCAGAATCCCCCTCCCCACCATGCCACTAGACTTAAGCCTTAAACCCTAAACCCTTTTGGACCCTTAACGGTACCCTTTAAGGTACCCTATGCCGCTGCGCACCTTGACGGCCAGGATTTGGCCAGGTTGTACGCCTCGAGGCACCTTCCCGTAGAGCCCAGCCAGCACCCTTCAAGCTAAGCATGTATTTTAAATTACGAACATTGCTATGATTAATTACTCTTGAAATTATTTTTAATTAAGATAGCCAGATCAACTTCCCTCCAGCAGTTTTTTATTCACAGAGTCCTGATTCAAGCGCTCGGGGGCTCTCTGGAATTTCTTTGGAGAAAGCATGCCCAAAACTTCGAAGGGATATTGCGTAAACCCAAAACATTCAGTCCTCGACCTTAGACGGGAAACTTTAAAGTTCCCTTCCCAAACCCTTTAGACCCTAAAGGCTACATGTCCTGAAACTGTGATCTTGCACCGACTGCAAACCGAAAACCTTCGAAGAAACATATCTGATGGGTTCAATGTCTTGCTTCCCGACCGTACAAGGGAAGCAAACAGTAAACGAAGGCCAGTCAAACCCTTGTTGGGTACATTTTGTTGATTCCCCATGTTCCGGCAATAGCATACAGGATCCCGAACATAGAATAACTTATCCAACTACGTTACGATCCAGGGTCTCGGCTAACTGTCCGAACCCGAAAGCTCAAAAGATGGGATGGGCGTTGAAGAGCTGCAGTGGCCAGGCTCTTAGTTTGGGTTCCCAAAGGATCCGAAGTACCTTTATAGTAGAATGTAGGGTTTCTATATTAGGAATTACTATTATGATTTGGGGAAGTATCTACCATAACAGTACCTAGGACCCTTTGGGGTTACCTGACCCTTACAAAATCTATGTTTTGGGGTGCCTTGTTCTGATTTCCTCATTGGGGTCCTTAAAAAAACTGCCAAGAGTCTAAGAGACTGCTTCAAGCCGAAGAAGTTTCTTGCCTCCACCCTCCCCTTACCCTAGGGTTCCATTAACGGGCTCTAAAAGGGCTGCTATAAGGGATCTATAAGGTGCTATAATGTAGGGGCCTTAATAATTAGAGCCCTCTCATCCCTGGCCCTACGTCTCTCAAGCAGCCTCCACACAAAGTCATAGCCTCCAACCCTAAACCCCACGGCGCGCAAATGTTGAGGGTCATCTTCGCACTGACGACCGCCGGTGTTGCTGCCGCTTGCGCCCCCTTAGAACACAGCATACATCATGTACTTAAACATCCCTTGGAGTTTTCAGTATACTAGCGAAAGAGGTTCAAAAATTTCTCGGAGCTTTAATTACAGCAAAAAGTCATTTCAACAATCCTTTGGGCTTTCTGTGCCACAAAATTGGATTCCCAAGAACACTCCAGGCCGCTGCTTGTGGTTCCGACTGAGATGCCTGGGTCTGCGGCCGCAGAACCTGAAGAACCTTTCCGGGAAAGGTCCCAAGAAGGTTCGGGGTTTGGACGGGCAAGCCTGGCAGGGTTCTTCTAAAGGGGCCTCAAAAGTTATTGAGAAGATTCCTATAGAGGTGTTCCCAGAAAGGTGTCGATGAGGATTTTGGGAAACACTCCTAGAATTCGGTAAATTTCCCATGAGTGTGACCAGAGGTTGAAAAGGCTTCCTACCTCTGGCACAGGTTACCTACGATATTGCGTGTTATACTTTTACACTCGGCTTTTCTAGAAACGACTGCGCCGTTGCTAGGCTTTCCAGCAAAACCCAGCTACCCAGACCTTCCAAAAACCCCTTAATTAAGGAATACACCTTAAATCATAGTAATGTCCCTAATATGATTTAAGGTATATTCCTTAATCAAGGGGTTTTGGAAGGTCTGGGTAAGGGGGCAGAACCTGCTCTTTCACGGCAGACGAAGGTTCGGTGCAGCTGTTTGTGCTGTGGGGGGTATATGGGAGTTTCCGAAAATAAGGGGGTACCTTATTGCAGGGTCCTTATAATAAGGATCCTACTATTTAGGATACTGTATTAGGGTCCCCGGTTTTCTGAAACTCCCGTATGAACATTACGGGTTTAGGGCTCGGTATTTGGACCATATAGCTAATCCTAAAACCTGTCGCGCAGGCTGGTGTGAATCCCGCCTGGATGTGACTCACCTAAACCCTACATTCCCTACATCCTGGACAGGGCGATAACTGTAGGACATCGTAACCTCTTGGGTCCTTATTATAATACGGCACCTATTATTTAGGGTACCCTGGAGTATTGAAACTCTTTGCCAAGGTGCAGTTCCCGGCCCTGCACCTTGTGGCACATGCACGACAAAGTTGAATCCGTCCGGGTTTGACACCTGCCAAAACCGAGCAATGCCTTCGGGGAAACCCCATCAGCGAACCGCCTACCTGATTGGAGTGCATGTGGAGTCTAGCTAGGTCCGGTGCTTTCGTTTTCAGGTCCCCGGTTTTCCAGGACGGAACAGTAGAACGAACTGTCTCCAAACCCGAACCAGCCCTGAACCGCTAACTCAAAACTGGAATCGTATGGATTCTATATACATCCAATGTCGAGTGGCTAAGGTGTCCAGAAAGACCATTACTGGTTATAGTAGAGAACATTTCTCGGGATATAGGTGGCTTAATATTAGGGTTCGGGTTCTGGGTCTTTTCAGTCTATTCCTCAAATATACGGCATTGGGTTCGTTGGCTGCGTTTAATGATAGCGCCCGCACTAATTTGCCGGCTGTTGCTCGGTAGCATAGCACTGGCCCTTTACTTCGTGAGCCGCTCGGGAGTCCCCAATGATATAGACACCAATGATAGCTAGAGTATGGTTGTGAGGTGTGTTGCAGCTATACTAAGGAACCTGATAAGGAATAGCATTGGTAATCGTTGTCTGCGACCCCAAACCTATAATACCGCTGACCCCCCAAAATGTGATCTTCCCGCTCAGCAGAAGCTTGGTGCCAAGGCACGGTGAGAGGCTGCCCGGCCACCACCCCTTCAGGCACCATGACTGACATGGTTTCCGGCCTTGCAACTCTATTGCGACAGCGTGGATGAAAGTCTTCGACCGAGTCTTGCACACCAAACTTCAAGCCACAGTGAACTCAGTCAACCCTCCTCTATGGGATAACCATGCAAAACTAGCTGCAAACAACTACATATGTCTATATATATATATATATATATTCCATATATATATATATATAGATATATATATATATATATATACATGTATACACAACATAACCTCAAAACTCTAGATGGGTGTTGCTTTAGAAATCCGGCTTAGGCAAGGTCTGTGGGGTATTGCTGGATAGTCGTGGCCAAGCTGGCCTGGGTAGTGAACTGTGCGGGAATGATCAAGCGCACTTGCAAAGAGCCAATCCTTTGGTGGCGCCACCACCCAAACTATTCTACTTGAGCGTGAACACTTGCCCTGCCCTGCACCTCACAACGACATCTCGCGAACAAAGCCACTGACGAAGGTTGTGGGTTGCACCAAGGCAGATACAATGATGTGTTCTTGGAAGGGGACACTAACCACTTGCCAGTAGTGTTCCTCCCGTAATGCTTTAACTATGCCCCACAACGGTACTGTACTATATACCACGCAGATCCGAATCTGGGCTAATCTTCTGCTATGGTTGGTTGTCAAAATTATGGTCCCTGCTTGGGTCCCTAATATAATATGGCACCGACTATTTAAGGCACCCAAAAAGGGACCCTAATTTTGACCCCGACCGAAGCAGCCACAACAGGGCCTCCAAAAAGCACATCAGCAAGACCTAGGATAGGCACATACCATATAAACCCCCTTGGCCTTGTAATGAAGTCCAATAATAAGGTAGGGATATCCCGATAAAAATGCTTATGCTCATGTCCTTTTTTGGGTCCCCAACACAACACTATGGACACCCAAGCAGCTGCTGTGTCGGCAGCCCTCCGTATACTGTTACCGTTGGTGACATCTGGCTGGCTCCCCTCTCCTCGGTGGAATAGGGTTTAGAGGTTTGCTGAAAAGCTGTTCCAAAATCAGGAGCTGCCTAAACCCTAAACCCTAAGGATTCCTAAAGGATCCCTTACAGGATCTCTTACCGGATCCTCAAAGGACTCCTTCAAGGTACCTTAAAGGACATTAAACGAACAAGGGAAAACGTAATATTGAGGAAAACGCCTAGGGTGGAGGAGCCGTGGGCTGTCCTAAGTCCTTTGAAACAGTTTGCAAGTTAAAGTGCTTAGGGTTTCTGTGCTTTGAAGTAAGCCGGGAAAATGTAAACTCTTCACTTCATGATGGCAAGACAAAGAGCCAGTCCAACAAAAAAATCCTGAACTATGGAAGACAACACCTCAACCCGCCGCCCCGAACCCAACGGCGACACCACAACCAGAAACAAACAGGCCACACGTCATCGGCACAATCGTCGGACATTCCTCCATGCCTGAATCCTCAACTTGGCCAACAGTCTGCCGAAACGAGAATTGCTTTGGACTTTCGAAAGCTGGCAGAACTGCCAGCCCCGCCGTCCAAAACACACAATCTACCTGAACCCCAAGCAGGCGGAGCACCAGAAAGTCGCGGAGGTGCCCTTCTGCCCAGCTGGGCACGCCACTGTTGGTGTAGCGAAGGGCTGTGTAGGCGAGCCAGGCCTCTTTGTCTCATCTTGCTTGTTTTGGATTTTGCTTTGTCTTCAAGCGAAGTTGACAAGCAGGGGCCATGGGTGCAACCAGATAACGGCTGACTACCGCTGCTGCGCAGCAGGGGGGGAGGAGAACAACAACCTCTGCCCACCCTGCTAGCGGCTACATCTGATAAGGACTTTATATAATTAGCGACCTTATCATAAACCTGCTCTCGCGCTAAAAAACCATATAAACAGGGTCGATCCGCGAGCTTGCATTTGTACATGAAGAGGCTGCCTAGACATGCATGAACGTGCATGATATGTACTTTTGGCCAAACAGCAGCTATAAAGGAACCGCGTTAAGGCCCAAGCATATGCAACATAGGCGCATGGACCCCTACACCCCAAAATATCTCAACCCTAAGCTCCAAGCCATTTGCCATAAACCTCGGCCGTAATTATAGACCCTTCAAATCCGAATTGAATCCTAAATCCTAAAGCACCCTTTGAAAGATGAGCCGAAGCCTACCTATAGTCTCCATTGTAGTCCCTTTTGGGGCTCCCTTTTAGGATCCTTAACATGAAATTGGTTAAACCAAAAAAAGGAACTACAATGTAGCCATACCCTAAACCCTAAACCGTAAAGATCACTTTTTGGAGCCCTTATAGATCCCTTTAAAGGGACCCTAAACCGTAAAGCACTCAGAACTCCTCCGAGTCACCTCCAAGCCCTGGCGTCGCGCTTCCAGCTGCAGGGCGCTACATCCGAACCAGTGCCTCTGGGGGTTTCTTTAAAGGGATAGGGTTTGAACAGGGTTTAAGGTTTAGGGGTTTGGGGGTTTAGGGTTTAGAGGTTTGTTTAAGAATTCCTTTCTAGGGTTTCCTTTGCAGTTTCCTTTAAGTTTCCTTTGAGTGTTTCCTTTAGAGAGCCTTAGGGTCTCTTTTCGGGGTGTCTTTGAAGGGTTTCCTTTAAGGTTTCCGTTAACGGCTCTTTTAGGGGTTCGGTTTCCTTTGAAGGGCTCTCTGTATAGGGCTTGAGGAAAATTAGGACTCATGGCGGTTTAGGGGCTTGGGGATTTCCTGTAGTCTCCGTACATCCTAAATATGAAAATGGTAGAAAAGGAATTACAAAGGAGCACATCCGAGTTCGTGTTGAAACGACAGTGGCTGCATAAACTTGGGATTTTTTTGCTTGGTTCGATGCGCACTCAAGAATTTGGGGCGCCCGCTAGAATACCAGAGGCTCCATAGTACTTCCTTTTGAGGGTTCATATTTAGAATCCTATAAGGTAGTCCCCAAAAGGAACTACGATGGAGCCTCTAGGTAAACCCTCCGATATCCTCCGATTTTTCGTGTTGCCTAGGGCTTCGGCTGTAGCATGTTGGGGTTAAGGGTACCCAGACCTTCCAAAACCCCTTATTTAAGGAATATACCTTAAATTATAGTAGGGTCCCTAATATGATTTAAGGTATATTCCTTAATTAAGGGGTTTTGGAAGGTCTGGGTACCTACCAAGCAGCAAGACCTTGAACAACGGCGACGGCCCTCAATAGAAGCATTGTAAGGCGTAAGTTTCTCAGACTAAGGCACAAATGAACTCGCGACTTATTGCAAGTGCAAGGTTCCAGGAGACTAATGGCGAATCAGATCAGTCGAAACTGAACTTAGACCCCTAGAAAACCTACATTTTTAGCTGTTTCTTACAGATTATAGGAGCCTAAAGTTAAAAACAATATTTCTAAGTACACCTCAGAAGTAGGGCGGAGCATGCGAAGCCCCAACTAAGCCCTCAGAGGCCCAAAATCCCGATGTTGAGCTCGGGTGCTTCCTTGGAAATGGATAGCGCACCCGCAGGAATCTCCGCAACTTGTTGAACTCGCTGTAGCGCCGCATGACTCGCCAGGTACCTCAGTTCGACTCACTGCATCTCTGCCAAGATCTTTGGCTAGTCATCATATTTACCCTTGGTCTCACTGGCCCGAAACCCAAGGAAACTAAATCGACTACCTTAGTCGAAAAGTTCAGTTTACAGCCAATATGTAGTAGTATCAAAGACAATGTTCATGAGGCGGCTTCGGGTTTGGAGGCCACTTCCGCACCTGAATGCTGATCGAAGCAGTCTCAAGCCAGCAGCCCCGCTGCGCAGAAAGAAGAGAGGAAGAAGTAGCTTTCGGCTGGGACTTAGGGTAGCAGCCAGCAGCTGTCAACTAGGCGAAGAGGGGAACCATCTCATTCGAGGATTTCTTGGGTGGGTAAACAAATCGACAAAAGGCACAATCCTTGCCACTGCTCCCAATAAATCCACCTTTCCCCGAGTTCAATTGCTAAACAGTTTGGTTTCTAGGATGCGGCTGACGATGCTTAGTGGTGTCTTTGCTGCCAATGGCACTGCCAGAGTTGTGCGTCACCTCCACAGCAAAGTATGTCACCTTGGCATTTGTGCTGTATGGTGCGAGGTGCCGGGCTTAATACACTCTAAATTACACTCTCCAAGGTAGTTCCCGATGTGGGTTGCCTGAAACCCTTGTCAGATCTAAGACCCGACGAAACAGATTGGTTGATCGAAACAACAAGTACATTGGAGAACGTAAATCGGCTTGGCTCTGTGTCGCGGTTCTCGATCATTGAGATGCGCAGTAGTATTGTCTAAGTTGCTGCTACCACGTCGTTCAACCAATCCGGATTCTACAGCCCTTTTTTGCAGCAGGCCTCGTTGTCCAGCAGCCCTAAACCCTAAACCCTAAACTCTACAGCCCGTATTTGCGCGAAGTTCCAACGACTCGGCTCTTCTCGTGTCCTCTGGGCCTCAGGTCCTGGCAAGGGTTGCCTCAGAGATATAGGGGTTTATACTGCTAATATATGGCATGGAAGGTCAGTACCTCAGGCCCTAGAACCCTAATGACGCCGTGACGGCTTGCCGTTTGCTACAGGTTTTGGAGCTTTGGGACTTACAGCTCGAACTGTAGGGTCTGTAGGGTCAGAAGATGTCAGAAGGAGACGGACTGAGCCACAGGTGCTGCCAAGCTGCCTCACGATGCTGACAGATGCCATCTCGGGGAACGCGGATATTGGTCACCTCATACGGTCATCCAGGGCATCGCCTTGTATACTCCCTATTTTGAAATTGTACTAGAATAAGAATATATATATATATATATGTGTATATATATATATACATATATATATAACCCTATGGCCTACGCCAACTGCTCTGTGTAGGACTCCTACACTACAGGGTCCGAGGCCTTGGGGCACCTGGGTGTTGGAAACCTGGGGAATGGCTCACGAACTGAAAGCCAAAATCTTAAGCTGGACGAAGTCACGATTTTAGGTTTAGGGTTTTCGGTGCCAAGCATCTTCAAGCCTTGGAATGTGCAAGAGCTACTTTCCAGCGCAATAACACGAAATCGTGACCCACACAGCCGCAAGCTTGCCACACTTACCTAAACCTGTTCCGAACCCCCTTCGGAGAAGCACTGTGCGTTTCCTTTCTCATGTGCAAGGCGGCCGGGAACACATTAAACTCGCATTGCAACCCAAAGCCCTGCATGGGAATCCCAGCACCTACTGTTGAGGGTATGCTCTGAAACCAAGGGGCCACCACCCACTATGCATTTTGCATGGTTTAGAGCTACAGCTACCCCTTTCGCCCAAAGGCCGTGACATAAGCCGCCCTGTTGAGGCTAAAGTACATGAGAATACATATATATATATATAGTTATAGTACACTATACATCACTATAATATGTCTTAGCATACCACTTGCGCATGCTTTTTCTGATATAGTATAGTACATTACATTATGTCGCACTTTATTACTCGCCTGTACATACGATTATAGATGCACACACACACACACACACATGCCGCATGTTTGTGTGTACATGTAGGCAGCAGAAACCGGATGCGGACGAACTGCCCCAAGTGCGGCGGCCCTCCTTGAACGTGAGGAAGACCTACAAGTCCATAAATGGGTCCTTAACCCTACATGTATAGACCCAAACCTTCAACCCTCAACCATGGGGTCTCGGCTTTTGTGAGGGTCTTTAGGCTTTCGACTCTCACTCGCAACAGCAGGAACGGATTCAGACGGAAGGTAACGGCGAAAGGCTTGCTACAGCAGCATGAAGCGAAGCATGCACAAGGACCTAGCACACACGAAGCATTCAAAAATCTGAGACCATGAGAGGCGCCCAGAAACAACGATAACCAACAGCTACAAGCTTTCGCACGTCCAGGGGAGAGCATGATTGTGTGTGCGTGTGTGTGTGTGTGTGTGTGTGTGTGCGTGTGTTGAAAGGTGCGCCGCTCAGGACTGGGGGCACGAGATAGAAGTTTATATATGGTTCAAAGTCAGGACTGCATCGGCCAGGGTTCAGGCTTAGAGGGGCCACGGCTTCAGGATCAAAAGATTGAAGGCCATGGATTTAGACATCAAGGTTGGTTGTTTCAAGTCTCGAGGCTTTAGATTTGGCAGCCACCAGGCTATGGGTGCTCCAAGGTCCAGGTGTGCTGACCGAGTGGAAGCCAGGAATCACCTGTACACCCAAAAGCCAAATCTGGGCATGCATGTCAACCTCCTCAACTTCCTTCAAAACAACCCAAACCCATCCCCTACCCCTTCAGCAACAAAAACCATACACATAAACCCTACAGTCGTCCTACACCCTAAAACATCTTAAACCCTAAACTTTGTTACCAAACCCTCAAACCCAAAGCCATAGTTGTAACAGTATGAGGAAACATAAAGTAACAACCATAGGAACAATCACAAGAACGGTATATACTAATAAAGCAAAAACAACAACGACCTAATGTCAGTAAGTAAAACAAGTAGCATTACCCATAGGCCCCAAAGTATTTCCTTTTTGGGATTACCTTATAGGATTCTATATACGAACCCCAAAAGGAACTACTTTGGGGCCTTAGGGTAATAGTCATGGGCCTGGAAGATGAGAGCAGGGCCCCTACAGAGCCGCCAAGGACGGCGCCCACCGGGCCGGCTACCGCCAGTCCCAGGGCCGCGCAGCCAACCTTTCTTGAACGGAACGCCGCTCTTAGGGCTTATTATAGGGCTTAGTGGTTTACGGGTTTCCCAAAGGGTCCAAGTATAACTATGGTATATACTTATAGGGCATTTTGGGAGTCTAAGTATATACCATAATGATACTAGGGCTTATTACCCAGAGACTCCAATATCCCTTAACTAAGGAATATACCTTAAATTATAGTAGGATCCCTAATATGATTGTTTGGAAGGGCAGGTGACTTATAGTAATCCGTTTATAAGTAGGGTTATAGTTGGGCAACTTCATTCAGGGTACTTATAACTCTACTTATAACCTACTTACTAAGTCCCCTGCCCCTCCAAGTAGTGGTTCACGGGCTTAGGGTTTGAGGCTTATATAGTGGTTTGTGGCTTTAGGGTTCAGGGCTTGGTGGTTTGTGGGCTTAGGTTTTAAGGCTTAGTGGTTTCTGGGTTTAGGGGCTCACGGGTGCAAGGAGTCCAACTATCTATTGAGCGTGTGTTCTTTCTGTGATGCCTAAACCAAACCGGCCAGCGTCCGGCAAACATTGGACTTGGAGCCTTAGGCCGGTTTCCTGGATTCCGCGAACTGGAGCACTTGTCTATGCGAGGCTCTTGGACAATCCTGAGACGAAGGAAATCTCTCCAGCGGAGCGGCCTTGCATCAGTTTACGTACACTTTTTTGGCCCTCCCCTAGGCTCCATGGTTTTTCCTTTTTGGGGATTACCTTCACTACTATGGGGCCTATGGATTCTTATAGGACTCAATCCTGGAAAGGCCACAGAGACCGCGGATCGTAGCAGCCTGCAGCTGGTTGTTGGGTTACCAACTAGTACTTACCCTAAGGGTCCTATGTACTTATCTAGTAGAATGTAGCGCTTCTATATTAGGAATTACAATTATGATCCAGGGAAGTATCCCCCATAACAGTACATAGGACCCTTTGGGTTACTAACCGTGGTTAGAACCGTGCAATGGGGCAGCAAGGACCAGACAAAAGGCACTACCATAGGACCCTCAATAATTAGAACAGCGTTTTGGGGCCCATTATACCATAATTATGATTTTAGGAACCCCCGAAATAGTGCAGGTACTCATTAAGGCCCCTATTTACATTCCAGGGACCAGGAGTTACCTGAACGAAACCCTACCTGGACCCTGAATTGCTTACACCTTGTTAAGGACGTATATAAGGAACTCATACTGATACGAATATCATTCCTCAGGATTTCCTAACTATACGGTAACATACCCCCCCCCCCGACACACACACACACACAGACTTTTGCCAAGCTATCCAGAGCCAGATCTTGCAGCAGCTCTCCATCGAAAATCTTCATGCAAAGCATTATGTCTTCAATGCCCGGATGTTGTAGCAGAGTGCGGACCACGGCCGTCTCGGTTCGAAACTTTTCGAAGAAGATCTAGGGTTTAGGGCTTAAGGGCTTTAGGGTTTATAGGGTTCCAGTAGAAATCAGCCAGGATACGTCACTACTTAGAGGCCCAGGGGACTTAGTAAGTGATTATGAGTTATAAGTAGGATTATAAGTACCCTAAATGGAGCTACCCCAATGATAACCCTACTTATAACCTACTTACTAAGTCCCCTGGGCCTCCAAGTAGTCATCCGCTCCCGTTTTGCCACGGAACCACAGTCCTGGAAGTCTTCATCTTGATCCCTGCGATACATACCCCCTTATCCCTCGACCCTTAAAGAAACTTTTGCACAAGAATCCTCCCAGAAACGGTAAAGAACCCGAGATTTCAGAACTGTTATGGATCCCTTACTATCAAAGTCTCATAGCTAGAACCCCTAAACCCTAAACAAGAACGCTTGACGAACTATCGAACTGCTGTCGGGCCGCC